TTGGCTCCCAGTACGTTTCCAAGCACACTTCAAAGTGTTGGTGTTGACCTTTAAAGCCCCAAACGGCCTCGGTCCAGTATACCTGAAGGAGCATCTCCACCCCCATCGTACTGCCTGGACACTGAGGTCCAGCTCCGAGGGCCTTCTGGCGGTTCCCTCTCTGCGAGAAGCAAATCTACAGGGAAACAGGCAGAGGGCCTTCTAGGTGGTGGCACCCGCCGTGTGGAACGTTCTTCCACCAGATGTCAAAGAGATAAACAACTACCTGACATTTAGAAGACATCTGAAGGCAGCCCTCTTTCAGGGAAGTTTTAAATGTGTGTGTCAGCGGCTGCCTCCGGTCCCAGCTCACAAAGGACCAACGCCAGTTGCTCTTTATAAACAAAAGTCTTTATTGTGGTTCATTGTTGGCTTGACATCCGTGGCGCGCAGCGCTACGTCTGAGTCCTTAGACCGGCGAAGTCCCGTCTGAATCCGCCCCTCCTTTACACCAGTTCAATACCCGAGCTTTGCTCCACCTCTTCCTTTCCTCCCTCTGTTCCTTACGCCTCCGGGTCCTCCTGACCTCTGGGATCCCAACCCTCCTGGACTCTTCGGAGGCGGATTCTTCTGACTCCTCCCCCTGTCTCCGGCGGGCTTTGGGACCTGGCTCCCAATCCGGATTTTCTGCTGTCCCGCGCGCCTCTACATTTGAACTTGGCGCGCGCGCCCCGCCGCCCACTTTCCTCCTAACGGCTACACTGCTCCCTTCACTGCTTTCTCCTTCAGGGAGGCTGGCCGTCCCTGCTCTCTCCTCCGCCCCTCCACTCTCTGACGGAGGCGTGGTCAGTCCTGCCTCACTCTCTCCTCCTGCAGGAGGAGGCTTCTGTTCTAATCTGTGGGATTCTTCCCCCCCCCCCCCGCTGCGCTCTGGTGGGGAAGCTAGCCCTGATTTCCAGCTGCCGCTTGGCGACTCCCCACTGGCCCCCCTTGCCCTGACCCTGGGGGCCTCCTTCTGGGAATCTTCTGATTCGCTGGAGAGACTCAGGGAATCTCTCTGGTCACTGTCATACCCTCCTGCGCTCCCCTCCGATTGTTCCCCTTCGCTCTCCATCTCCTCCTTCTCCTGTGGCTCAGTCCCTGAGCCCCTGACAGTGTGACATTTTAATGTATTTTTAATCTTTGTTGGAAGCCATCCAGAGTGGCTGGGGAAACCCGGCCAGATGGGTGGGGTACAAATAATATATTATTATTATTATTATTATTATTATTATTATTATTATTATTATTATTGTTATTATTATTATTATTATTATTATTATTATTATTATTATGTTATTCAGAGTTGCCTTTATTCTGACTGAGGCCATGTTGAGCTTCATAAAAGGTGACTAAATTGTCCCAGTGAGTCTTCAAAAACACAGCTATTGAAATATATCACAACTTCGGCTCAGAACAGGTGTTATAATGAAAGTCATCACAGAAACCTCCAGAGAGGCTGCCAGGAAGCAGGCAAGTTACGTGGGCTGCTCAAGTAGGACTGGTGATATTTTTACAAGAAACCAAAGGCCAGAAGCCAAGAGCAAAATGCAAGACATTTAATCGTGTGAAGGCAGGTGTCAGGCATCTCTCAGGAGAACGGAAGGAGCTGGAAATTAGAACAGTCGCAATCCCCTAGCTATCCAAATCTGTCTGGACGTAGCCTGAGGAAGGAATCTAAGCACTGCAAAGCAAGCAAATGTCTTGGCGGAAATGTCAGGATTTGGTATCTTCTCACCCAAATGCTTCACAGTAAACTAGTCTTGAGAGTCCCATGGGCTGCAAGAAGATCAAACCTATCTATTCTGAAGGAAATCAGCCCTGAGTGTTCACTGGAAGGACAGATCCTGAAGCTGAGGCTCCAGTACTTTGGCCACCTCATGAGAAGAGAAGACTCCCTGGAAAAGACCCTGATGTTGGGAAAGATGGAGGGCACAAGGAGAAGGGGACGACAGAGGACGAGATGGTTGGACAGTGTTCCCGAAGCTACGAACATGAGTCTGATCAAACTGTTTGTTTGTTTGTTTAGTCGTTTAGTCGTGTCCGACTCTTCGTGACCCCATGGACCAGAGCACGCCAGGCACTCCTGTCTTCCACTGCCTCCCGCAGTTTGGTCAGACTCATGTTTGTAGCTTCGAGAACACTGTCCGACAGTGGAATTTGCTGCCAAGGAGTGTGGTGGAGTGTGGTGGTGTCAGGAGTGCTCTGATGGTGTTTCTTGCTTGGCAGGGGGTTGGACTCGATGGCCCTTGTGGTCTCTTCCAACTCTATGATTCTATGATTCTATTCTATGATTAAACTACAAGAAAGAAGATTCCACCTAAACATTAGGAAGAACTTCCTGACAGTGAGAGCTGTTCGACAGTGGAATTTGCTGCCAAGGAGTGTGGTGGAGTCTCCTTCTTTGGAGGTCTTTAAGCAGAGGCTTGACAACCATATGTCAGGAGTGCTCTGATGGTGTTTCCTGCTTGGCAGGGGGTTGGACTCGATGGCCCTTGTGGTCTATTCCAACTCTATGATTCTATGATTTGGCGATCAGCTTTCTTTATGGTCTAGCTCTCACTTCCATACATCACTACTGGGAAAACCATGGCTTTAACTATACGGACCTTTGTTGGCAAGGTGATGTCTCTGCTTTTTAATATGCTGTCTAGGTTTGCCATCACCTTTCTCCCAAGAAGCAGGCGTCTTTTAATTTCGTGGCTGCTGTCACCATCTGCAGTGATCATGGAGCCCAAGAAAGTAAAATCTCTCACTGCCTCCATTTCTTCCCCTTCTATTTGCCAGGAGGTGATGGGCCCAGTGGCCATGATCTTGGTTTTTTTGATGTTGAGCTTCAGACCATATTTTGTGCTCTCCTCTTTCACCCTCAATAAAAGGTTTTTTAATTCCTCCTCACTTTCTGCCATCAAGGTTGTGTCATCTGCATATCTGAGGTTGTTGATATTTCTTCCGGCGATCTTAACGGCTTGGGATTCATCCAGCCCAGCCTTTCGCATGATGAATTCTGCATATAAGTTAAATAAGCAGGGAGACAATATACAGCCTTGCCGTACTCCTTTCCCAATTTTGAACCAGTCAGTTGCTCCATGTCCAGACAACAAAAACTTGGGCTTGCTGAAGTGTTGGAAAAGGCTGATCTGGTCCTGAATGGGGTAACTGTGCCCCTGAAGGACCAGGTGCGCAGCCTGGGAGTCATTCTGGACTCACAGCTGTCCATGGAGGCTCAGGTCATTTCTGTGTCCAGGGCAGCTGTTTACCAGCTCCATCTGGTACGCAGGATGAGACCCTACCTTCCCGCGGACTGTCTCGCCAGAGTGGTGTATGCTCTGGTTACCTCCCGCTTGGATTACTGCAATGCGCTCTACGTGGGGCTACCTTTGAAGGTGACCCAGAAACTACAACTAATCCAGAATGCGGCAGCTAGACTGGTGACTGGGAGCGGCTGCCGAGACCACATAACACCGAACTTGAAAGACCCACATTGGCTCCCAGTACGTTTCCGAGCGCAATTCAAAGTGTTGGTGCTGACCTTTAAAGCCCTAAATTGCCTCAGTCCGGTATACCTGAACGAGCGCCTCCACCCCCGTTGTTCTGCCTGGACACTGAGGTCCAGTGCTGAGGGCCTTCTGGCGGTTCCCTCCCTGCGAGAAGCCAAGTTACAGGGAACCAGGCACTTGGTAGTGGCACCCGCCCTGTGGAACGCCCTCCCATCAGATGTCAAGGAAATAAACAGCTATCTGACTTTTTGAAGACATCTGAAGGCAGCCCTGTTTAGGGGAAGCTTTTAATGTTTGATGCATTACTGTATTTCAATATTGTGTTGGAAGCCGCCCAGATGGGCAGGTATTATTATTATTATTATTATTATTATTATTATTATTATTATTATTATCTCCTCCTGAAATGCACCCTCAGCGCAGCATGTTGTAGGGGGTTGGACTAGATAACTCTTACGGTCCCTTTCCAACCCTACAATTCTGTGCTTCATAAGCAAGCCGTTTAGTTGAAGCCTTAAAGGCAAAGCATTTTTTTATGCTGACAGCAGCATTGTTTAAACCCTGGATTGATTCCAGGCAATGTGATAACGATAGGTCAGCAATAATTCTTTTCAATATCATTACCTCTAAGCACTTCCCCACTGGGTTTTCCCTCATGCTTTCCTCTTAATGGAATGATGATGATGATGGTGAATCTGCACGTGCACAGTCTGGATTAGTACCGCGCTGTGTTTGCACCTAGTCCCACAACAGCTGCAGGGTCAGACGCAGGATAAGGGCCACTTCTGAGCTGGCAATTCCTGTGCAGAACCGAGAGATGGTGCATTGGGTTCCTGGTCCATCTCTCCATTGTGTACCAGCAGGGCTGGGGCACTGGCATCTCAGTATGAGAACACTACTGTCCATTGCAGAGGGTTTGGAGGAACCTCCCCATTTAGGGCACAGTATCCTGTGCAAGAGGGACGTGGGTGGCGCTGTGGGTTAAACCACAGAGCCTAGGACTTGCCGATCAGAAAGTCGGCGGTTCAAATCCCCACAATGGGGTGAGCTCCCGTTGCTTGGTCCCTGCTCCTGCCAACCTAGCAGTTCGAAAGCACGTCAAAGTGCAAGTAGATAAATAGGTACCACTCTGGCGGGAAGGTAAATGGCGTTTCCGTGCGCTGCTCTGGTTCACCAGAAGCGGCTTAGTCATGCTGGCCACATGACCCGGAAGCTGTACGCCAGCTCCCTCGGCCAATAAAGCGAGATGAGCGCCGCAACCCCAGAGTCGTCTGCGACTGGACCTAATGGTCAGGGGTCACTTTACCTTAAACCAAATATCATAAAGACACCACATTCTCTGATGTGCTTTGTTTCCAAAAGGAAACAGGAACGCTAGGTAAGCGCCTGGAATCCTGCAATAACACACACACACACACACACACACACACACGGATTTGGGAGGTGTCCCTGCCTCCAAAACATCTCTTCTATGTGTTTCAGTCTCGAGGAACAACCTTGGGTTCTGCAGGGAGGTTTCGCTGCCCATCTTGCCGCCATGAAGTGGTCCTTGACAGACATGGCATCTACGGACTGCAAAGGAACCTTCTGGTTGAAAACATCATTGATATTTATAAGCAAGCATCAGCCAGGGGGCCAGAGAGGTATGTGATACCCAACAGTCATTGTGTATGTTTGTGGGTGGGCGGGTGTTTCTTGCACACCCCAAAATGTGGGCAAATGTGGACTTGTAAAAGTATAAAAGAGTATTGGGAAATGATCTATAATGAATTGAAAAAAGTGTTTAAAAGTACTTTACCAAAAAAAACCAAGAGTCCTTTCTGTTGGGGATAATTTAAACTGAAATTCCCAGGTGTCAAAAACGATTATTTATGTATGCTGCAACTGCGGTCCATGTTTCGTTAGCCCAAAAATGGAAAACGAGTGAAGTCCCAACCAAAGAAGAATGGCAACTTAAGTTGACAAAATATGCACAACTCGCAGACTTAACATATAGAGTAAGAGAACAAGAAGAACATACTTTTAGAGAAGATTGGAAAACGTTTATTGAATGTGTGGGAAATAATTGTGTACAGCTGAAAACATTGGCAGAATTAAGATAAATTAAACAAGTATAAACAAGTATCGATGGATGTAATAATGGGATGCTGATTGGTATGGTTTTTATAAAATATGCAGGAATTTAGGATATGTAAAAAGAACCATGGAAAGAGAAGAAGGGAAGTCATGGATCTGTTAAGGATTTAAAATGAGTGTTTTAAATTGTAAAACAGAATATATATAGAGGGGGGGCAAATGTTTCATCTCGGGCCCCCCCCCCCAGATATTTCATAGAATCATATAATTGTAAGGTTTCTAAAGGACCCCAAGGATCTTTTAGTCCAACCCACCCCACTGCAATGCAGGAATCTCAACTAAAGCATCCATGTCGGATGTCTATCCATCCTCTGTTTAAAACCCCCCAAGGAAGGACAGTTCACAACCTTCCGAGTCAGTTTGTTCCACTGTCAAACGCCTCTTAGCATTGGAAAGTTCTTGCTAATGTTTCATCAGAGTCACCTTTTTTGTAATTTGAACCCATCAGTTCAAGCAGCAGAGAACATGTTTGCCCCATCTTGCGTGTGACAGCCTTTGAGATATTTGAAGGCGGCAACATAAATTTTTTGAAATGATTGAATTGGCAAAAATGACGGCAACAGTTAGAATGCAATCTAATCAAAATCTCAAACAGGAATGGAAAAGTGTAGAGGAATACATGACCAAAAGATGCTCCAACAAGAATTTATTGATATGTAATAGACTGATTTCACAAATTTAAGCTAAGCAGATATATAAGATTGAATGTTTAATTATTAAGGTACAAAATTACAATCTCAATAATAAAGTTACGAAATAATAACAAGGAAGACACAGAAATAAGAAATGGATAGATGTTGGTACATAATGAAATGTAAAAAGGTGAATTTACAAATATAATGTATATGTATCATTATGTAAAGATTTCATATATGTATTGCAACATTAATAATAAATAAATGAGAAATAAAAATAAATAAATAAAGATAGATAGATAGATGATAGATAGATAGATAGATAGATAGATAGATAGATAGATAGATGATAGATAGATAGATGATAGATATTTGAAGATGGCTCTCATATCACACCTCAGTCCTCTCTTACCCAAACTAAACACACCCAGCTCTTTCAACCGCCAGGCACTTATTTGATTAGACACCTACATCCAATGATTCTGAGTAGCAGAGACTTGACTGGAGAAAACAGAGAGTGTGGGAAGAAATTTAGAGAGGGAGAGGGAGAGGGAGCACTCAATGTGTTTTTTTAAATAACTTTTTCAAAAATTAATTTTTTCAAATTCTTTTGAACAACCATCCGAATAAATCTCTCATATCCGTTGACTTCCCACCCACCTTTCCATGCTGTTATTTCCTTATAAAGCTGCTATATTACTTAAATTTTACCCATTATATACGTTAATTATAAATGATTCTCATCTGCTGCTATTCTTCAAATCCTGCATACATTTTAAACTCCTGCATAATGTTTTTTTTTTTTAAAAAAAAGATCAGGGTCTTGAAATGTTCCAGCTGGCCACTAGAGGTCTCTGTATGCCACAGAAAAAGAGATTTTAACCAACATTTCAGACCCCTCTCCCCCTCCCTTCATGTAGCTGGTGAATTTTGCTATAGGAGGGAAGTAAAAGGGCGCCCAGGTGACCAAGGGCAGCCTTGTAGCAGGATGAGACCAAAGGCCTATCAGATGGAGCATCGTTTGTTGCTGACAGTGGACAACCAGACAGCCCACTGGGAAATCCACAAGCAAGATAGGAGGGCAATGGGCGCCACTTTTGTTGCTGGCCCAGCAACTGGTAATTCAGAGGCATGGTGCCTCTGACCATGGACAGAGAGCATCTAGCTGTGGTGAGACTAGTAGCCACAAAGAGGGCCTTTAAATCCCCTTTAAAGCCACTGCAGTTGAGAGCAGTCAGTTTCCTGCCATTTGAATAAGAGATCCTTTCATTTTTGCTGGTTCCGAATCTCCGGCCAGCCAGAAAGGAGACTGAGGGTGTTGAAGGGGGCAGAAATTGAGACCCACCCCCCACCCAAACTGAAATGGAAAGAGTTCAATTTACACTCGAGTAGGACCCTGGCAGAGACACATACCCGACTGGCATGTTCTCTCGCTCCTGGTTGATCGTTTGGGAACTTCATAAGCTTTCTTCAGCCCGAACATCACAGCGACCGATGCCAACCGACACCAGCACACTTAGGGATCCGTAGAGTTTGCACAACTTGCGTGACAGACCTCAGCAACTCAGCATTTTGGCTAATCTACTTTATTTACTGGGACACGGGTGGTGCTGTGGGTTAAACCACAGAGCTTGCCAATCAGAAGGTTGGCGGTTCAAATCCCCGCAACGGGGTGAGCTCCCGTTGCTCAGTCCCTGCTCCTGCCAACCTAGCAGTTCGAAAGCACATCAAAGTGCAAGTAGATGAATAGGCACCACTCCAGCGGGAAGGTGAACGGTGTTTCTGTGCGCTGCTCTGGTTCGCCAGAAGCGGCTTAGTCATGCTGGCCACATGACCCGGAAGCTGTACGCCGGCTCCCTCGGCCAGTAAAGTGAGATGAGCGCCGCAACCCCACAGTCATCCGCGACTGGACCTAATGGTCAGGGGTACCTTTGCCTTGCTTTATTTACATATAAACACACACAGAGCACTGCAACATGGCTCCCTCTCTCTCTAGCATCAGGCAGCAAAGAGAAAAAGAACAAAGGACAATAGTCCCCCTTCATGGAATACGGTAAAACAAACATCTTGTCTCTGTCACTTCCCACTCTGTGGAGTCAAAACATACACCGTCATGAGATAGACAACAATCCCATGACTGCAATCATGGAGCAGGAATTCTAACAGGGGGCATAAATTGAGCCCCACCCAAACTGAAATGGAAAGAACAGGTTGTGATGGAAGCAAAATGGTGATAGCCAGGAATAGCCAGTGGGGTGACTTCCAGGTGAGTTTGAACTCCAGCTCCCATCATCCCCAGCTGTCTTGCCCAGGAGGATGGGTGTTGGAGTCCAATATCAGGTGGGCACCTTGTTGACTACCTTGGCTTAAGCCCTTTCCCCAGGGGCTTAGCTTTCCCCATTATAACTAGAGCTCCCGAGACTCTAAAAACAGTTCGCCTTTATAAATGCTAACTAGCCGAAGCGTCCAGGTCTGTTTTTCACTGTAGCCACAATATGTATTATTAATAATAATAATAATAATAATAAATTATACCCCGCCCATCTGGCTGGGTTTCCCCAGCCACTTTGGGCTACTTCCAACTGAATATTAAAAACAATACAGCATCAGACATTAAAAACTTCCCTAAACAGGGCCGCCTTCAGTTGCCTTGACATCTGCTGGGAGGGCGTTCCACAGGGCAGGCGCCACCACCAAGAAGGCCCTCTGCCTGGTTCACTGTAACCTCACTTTTCGCAGCAAGGGAACCACCAGAAGGCCCTTGGTGCTGGACCTCAGTGTCTGGGCAGAACGATGGGGGTGGAGACGCTCCTTCAGGTATACTGGACTGAGGCTGTTTAGGGCTTTAAAGGTCAGCACCAACGCTTTGAATTGTGCTCAGAAATGTACTGGGAGCCAGTGTAGGTCTTTCAAGACCGGTGTTATATGGTCTCGGCGGCCGCTCCCAGTCACCAGTCTAGCTGCCGCATTCTGGATTAGTTGTAGTTTCCGGGTCACCTTCAAAGGTAGCCCCACGTAGAGCGCATTGCAGTAGTCGAAGTGGGAGATAACTAGAGCATGCACGACTCTGGCCAGACAGTCCACAGGCAGGTAGGGTCTCACCCTGCGTACCAGATGGAGCTGGTAGACAGCTGCCCTGGATACAGAATTAACCTGCACCTCCATGGACATCTGTGAGTCCAAAATGACTCCCAGGCTGCGCACCTGGTCCTTCAGGGGCACAGTTACCCCATTCAGGACCAGGGAGTCCTCCACACCCGCCCGCCCCCTATCCCCCAAGAACAGCACTTCTGTCTTGTCAGGATTCAACCTCAATTGAAAGCACCCCCCCCAAAAAAAAGAATCATGAGAACTGTGGTTTCCTGCTCACAAAGCTACAAATCCCAGCACGCTTAGCAAACTGTGGTTCCCGGGATTCTGTGCTGCAACACTGTATTGTCTCTCCTGGCTGGTGGCTACTTTTCTTGGCTTATGTTTCTTGTCTCTGTCTCTCCTTACCTTATAAGCTCATTTCCCTCTCTTGTTTTCCCCCAAGACCCCCTTTAAAAACCGAGCACCCGATTTGCGAAGAGCATGAAGAAGAAAGGATCAACATCTATTGCGTGACCTGCGGGGTCCCCACCTGCTCCCTCTGCAAGGTCTTCGGGGAGCACAAGGACTGCGAAGTGGCGCCTCTCTCTGACATCTACATGCAACAAAAGGTTGGCTTCTCGCTGATGGCTCAGATTTCCCAGGGTGCTTCCACTGTTTCCATTTCTGTTCCGTGACGTTGGCAGAAGGACCTGTCCTTTAGCTGGAGACACCACTAGGCAGTGCTGGATTTACGTATAAGCTGAACAAGCTATAGCTTAGGGCTCCACTTTTTTGGGGGCCCCCAAAAAAATTAAAAGGAAAAAAGCTGGATGTACATTTCCAAAATAGAAGATAAAAAACAAATAAAATAAAACCAACATGCAGCAACAGTGTTTTGTGCTGTGTAGGCTCCCATGATGTAAGTCATGGGCCCCGCCTGCTAGCCTGCTCCCTAAAATATCACTGGTTTGCTCATTTCTATATATAGGGTGCCTACATTCTGCTATTTATCATTATTAGTGGTTTGCATCATATTTCATGTTATAGCAAGTTTCTAGAGACTAGATTATGAGTCTTTGTAAACTGTGTTTCCGAAGGAACTTTTGTTATTGCCAAATGCCAGCCTGTTTGCATTATTTACCATAGTTTGTTATGCATTAAAAAATCATTTTAAGTTAGAGCTTAATAATTATTTCACTATTAATGTACTTCTTCTTAACTGCATTTCACTATTAATATACTTCTTAATTGTATTTCACTATTAATATACTTCTTAATTGTATTTCAGTTCAACAATTACTTTGATAGAATACATATTTTGTTATGTGCAAATGGCTTGAGATACCTATTAGGTTCGTAAATTACCATATAGCATATAGTCAACACACAAAAACAGCGACCATTTGTTGTTGACAAAGGGCAGCTGGACATATAAAGGGCCCCATTACCTTCAGTAGCTTAGAGCCTCATCAAACCTAAATCTGGCCCTGCTACTAGGGCACAGGTGTGGCATCCTGTACCCTGGGGAGGGGGACACACATGCCTCATTTTATCAGACCCCCAACACCTCCCCAAACTGTCCCATTCTTCCAGCTCATCAGAGCTCCTTCCTTCCTCCATTTCCTCTTCCGATCAGGAGGAGAGGGCTATTGTAAAGTGCTTTCCCTTCTTCCTACATAGTTTCAGAACACTAAGAAGGAGCAATGTTTTATTTGAGAAAAACAAATTGATGGATTATGTATGTATGTATGTATGTATGTATGTATGTATGGGACGCAGGTGGCGCTGTGGTCTAAACCACTGAGCCTTTTGGGCTTGCTGATCAGAAGGTCAGTGGTTCAAATCCCCATGACAGGGTGAGCTCCTGTTGCTCGGTCCCTGCTCCTGCTAACCTAGCAGTTCAGAAGCACGTCAAAGTGCAAGTAGATAAATAGGTACCACTCTGGCGGGAAGGTAAACGGCGTTTCCGTGTGCTGCTCTGGTTTTGGTGCTCCGTCGTGCCAGAAGCAGCTTAGTCATGCTGGCACATGACCCGGAAAAACTGTCTGCAGACAAACGCCTGCTCCCTCAGGCTGTGAAGCAAGATGAGCGCCGCAACTCCAGAGTCTCCTCTGGTTCCGAGTCCGAGTCCAAGCCCCAGGCCATCACACCCACTCTCTGGAATTGGAGGTGGGGAGAGGGATGCTACACTTGAAGCCTGCTTGTGGGCTTGCCCATGCGGCATCTGGCTGGGCAAGTTGAGTACAGTATGTTGGACAGGGTGGACCATTGGCCTGGTCCAGGCGCAGGGCTCTTCTGATGCACCAAGACCTCCCCCACCAAGTGGGACCTGTTGGATCTTACAGCACAGGTGACATCGCAAACCGCCCTGAGAAATTTGGCTATTGGATGGTGTGGCCAATCAATAACCAAATGCCTTTGGGGTCTGCATGAACGAAGAACGTCTCCTTGAAGCCATTTCCTTCTCCTTTGCGTGTTGCTGGCTCTGCAGCATTTTGTGTTTAGCAGTGGCGTAGCGTGGGGGGTGCAGGGGGGGCCGGCCGCACTGGGTGCAACATCTGGGGGGCGCGCGCTTGCACTCGCAGCTCTCTGCCCCTACCTGCGCCCCCTACCCCCACGGGTTAGAGGGCGCAAATTACTTGCCTTGCCCCGGGTGCTGACAACCCACGCTACGCCACTGGTGTTTAGGGTGGCCTGAAGTTGGGTGCAAGGCATGGGGAGTGATCCTGTGCTCATAGGGAGGATCCCTTCTGTATCTCACTTTGAAATTGACTCGTTTGGGTTGGGTGTGGCCGTCTGAAACACTGCCCGCTTCCGGGAGCATTAGAGGAGCAGACTGAGCAGCAGGGCTGTCTTAAGCATATGCGGCACCAGGGTGCAAAGATCTGCCTGGTGTGCTCCCCCTGGTTGCCCAATCCCAAGCACGCAGGAGGGCAGAACAGGCTGGCCGCCTCAGTGTCTTGCTGGCTCGGTTGCCCCCGAACTCACGGTGCAGAGCCGCCTGCAGCAGAAGAGCCCGCCACGGCGCTCCGACTGATGGGTGTGCTCTTCCCTGGACTCAACTCTTGGGCCCCGGACTCTCGCCCTGGTGCCCTGAGAGCCCGGTGCCCGGGTGCCCCGCATCCATAGTGCCTCTGGGTAAGACGGCCCTGCTGAGCAGTGTCATTGGCAAATCAGTCTAATTTGGGTCCTCTCCCTTCCAGGCAGAGCTGACTGGTGGGATTGGTGCCCTTGTGGCTGCGAACGACAGGATCCAAGCCTACGTTGGGGATTTGCAAGGCTCCTGCAGGAACGTTGAGGTAGGACTCCTCAACATTTCGTTCTTTTTTATTTTCGCAATCTCTCCACTTATCTGTGTCAGGTCACAGTGTTCAAAGGACCAGTGACATTTCCTTTGGTGTCTATGTCACAGTGCTCACCACATCAGAATGATTGTTGAGATCAGGGGTGGTATGGTATTTTTAAAAAAGTCAATTTCAGTGGAGATGAACGATTTTGTTTTGTTAATTTGCTCTAAGACTTTGGTAAAAAGTTTCCCTGACAACTAAGCCAGAGGATTTGTCTGATGGAAATGCACAAACTGGGTGTTCAGATAAGGACTCACCATTTAAGAACTTTTGCTAAGATGGTTGCATTGCGTTAAGATCTATGTCATTAAATACTGTGGGGAGGGGGAGTTAGCTTTGCAATTTCCCCTCCCTCATATCACCTTCTCAACTGACTGTAGGTAAATGCCTTTCTGTCAAAAACCAAGGAAATTAAGCAGAATAGATTCGGGGGAGAAGGTGGGTGAGATTCATATACTTTAGAAAAAACAAAAACAATTGCTGGTGCTAATGGATTTTTATGTATGAAAAAAAGCAAAGAACAACAAGTTTTTTTCCTGGAGGAAATCTGTCATCGTTTTAAAAGTATCTCACCTATTTCTGCAGAGAGTTTGTTTTTTTTTAAAGTCAGTTTTGGAGAGGAGATGAATAAATATTGTTAATTTGCTCAAATGTGATAAAGGTAAGAAATGTTGCCCTCATTATAGTTGTTTTTTTTTTGCCTTAGAGAAGCTGTGGAGCCAAATTAACAGTATAAACATTTATTAGATAGGTTGACCTCAGCCTTTACCCAATTCATAAGCAATTTTGATTTTTTTCCTGTGTATGTGTATGACTGTATACACGTGTATATATCTCTAGGTGGGACACGGGTGGCGCTGTGCTCTAAACCACTCAGCCTCTTGGGCTTGCTGATCGGAAGATCGGTGGTTCGAATCCCCGCAATGGGGTGAGCTCCCATTGCTCTGTCCCAGCTCCTGCCAACCTGGCAGTTTGAAAGCACGCCATTAGGTGCCGCTGCAGCGGGAAGGTAAACGGCGTTTCCATGCGCTCTGATTTCCGTCACGGTGTCTTGTCGCACCAGCAGCGGTTTAGTCCTGCGGGCCACACGACCCGGAAAGCTGTCTGTGGACAAACGCTAGCTCCCTTGGCCTGAAAGCGAGATGAGCGCTGCACCCCAAAGTCACCTTTGAATGGACTTAACTGTCCTTTACCTTTATGTTTTTATATATCTATATATTGGAGTAGACTTGGTGAGGGCATGGGGTATGCATAGGGAGAGGAGAAAGGGGTGAAGTTCCATTGCATATGGATTGAATGAGTTGGATACGAATATATATAGCCCAGTTTTTAGTCATCAGAGGTAAAACAGTCAGTTCCCTGCTGTTTGTACTGTCAAGGTTTCCAGTGGTTCCTGAGTGAGGCTGATAATTTTGATCGATATTCCTTTTTGTGCCCTCAGGTTCAGACATAGCAACAGACCGTGGCTGGCAGGAGAATGAGGCTTCTCTTCCTGCTCCTCCTCCTCCTCCTTGAGGGGCATAAACTAAACAAGTTTCAGTTTTGAACTAGCCATGTTTTCCCTATACGTATGTTCCAACAAAGGGATGTAGGTGGCGCTGTGGGTTAAACCACAGAGCCTAGGACTTACTGATCAGAAGGTCGGTGGTTCAAATCCCCGCGACGGGGTGAGCTCCCGTTGCTCGGTCCCTGCTCCTGCCAACCTAGCAGTTCAAAAGCACGTCAAAGTGCAAGTAGATAAATAGGTACCACTCTGGTGGGAAGGTAAACGGCATTTCCTTGCGCTGCTCTGGTCCGCCAGAAGTGGCTTAGTCATGCTGGCCACATGACCCGGAAGCTGTACGCCAGCTCCCTCGGCCAATAAAGCGAGATGAGCGCCGCAACCCCAGAGTCGGCCATGACTGGACCTAATGGTCAGGGGTCCCTTTACCTTTACCTTACTTTATTTACATATAAACACACACGGAGCACTGCAACATGGCTCCCTCTCTCTCTAGCATCAGACATCAAAGAGAAAAAGAACAAAGGACAATAGTCCCACTTCACGGAACACAGTAACACAAACTTCCTGTCTCCGTCACTTCCCACTTTGTGGTGTCAAAATATACACCGTCATGTCAGGGGTCCCTTTACCCTTTACCTTTATGTTCCAACAAACTGGTGTTATAACAAATTACCATTCCTTGAGTCTGGATATCCTCTAGAGCAGGGGTGTCCAAACTTTGAACATACTTGCTCTAGAGTTTCCATAACATCCTCAGAAACTGTGGTTAGTTCAAAACTGAGAGCGGGAGGTTTGGATCTCAAGCCACATAGGAAGAGGTGGGAGGGAGTGCGGAAGACGTGAACCTGTTCTCAGAACGACAAACCACCTTTTGTTAAGTCTGACATGGACCGTTTTAGTACCAAGCGATCAATTTCAGTTTAAGCTTTCTACCCCCCCCCCCCGTTTTTTGAGCAGCACAACTGCAAAGCCCAGAAGCAGGCCCTGTGCGAGAAGTTTGACCGCATGTGCGCCATTTTGGAAGAGAGGCGGAAGATCATGTTGCAGAGGATCACCTACGAGCAGGAGGAAAAGATCCAGCACCTGAAATCCATCTGCAAAACATGTGGCGACCATATTGACTCTTCTTCCAAACTGGTGGACACAGCCTTGCAGTCCATGGAGGAGCCGCAGATGGCTGTATTTGTGCAGGTTAAGTAACCGAAAACCGCTCTGCTTCCACACTCCATCCAACAAACAAGGCAGTAGACTCGGGTGCAATCGACACACATATAAAAAAATGTTCTGAAAATGTTCTTGAATTTTCCATAAGGCTCACCGTCGCCATCTAGTGTCACATTGTATATTGCACTTAAAAAACACTTGAAACGTTTGCAGCTGTATAGCTGAGTCCTTGGAGAGGAGCAGGTCTTCCTGAGCTTCACTTCTGACTACAAGTGTTTGAATGCTGTCCCACAAAAACAGCTCCCTGTTGAAAGAAATGTAGCATGTAAGGAGGCAACCATTTCCCTGAAAAACTGGGTTTCTATGTGCAGGAAGAGTCTCTCCCTCCCTCCCTCCCTCCCCCCCCCCTCTCTCTCTCTCTGTAGGCAAGCAATCAAACAGGTCCTAGGACAAGGGTCAGCAAACTTTTTCAGCAGGGGGCCGGTCCACTGTCCCTCAGACCTTGTGGGGGGCCAGACTATATTTTGGGGAAAAAATAATGAATGAATTCCTATGCCCCACAAATAACCCAGAGATGCATTTTAAATAATAGCACACATTCTACTTGTGTAAAAACAACAGGCAGACCCCACAAATAACCCAGAGATGCATTTTTAATAAGAGGACACATTCTACTCATGTAAAAACACGCTGATTCCCAGACCGTCCGTGGGCAGGATTTAGAAGGCGATTGGGCTGGATCTGGCCCCCGGGCCTTAGTTTGCCTACCCATGATGTAAGGCAACCATCTCCCTGAAAAACTGGTTTTCTCTGTGCAGGAAGAGTCTCTCTCTCTTTTGGTAGGCAAGCATTCAAACGTGTCCTAGCAACATAGGAAACTGCCTTATATCAAGCCAGACCATTGGTCCATCCAGTTCAGTATTGTCTACACTCCTCAGCAGCATCTCTCCAGTGTCTGAGACAGGGGAAATTTAGGAGACGTTTTGTTAATGTGGATGGCATTGCCATGTTGCCGGGTGTATCTGGACTTTTGGATCCATTCCAGTATTAAGATTCTAATAAGTTCTGAGATGGACCTGTGAAACTCAAGGCGATGGGAACAGCTCATCAGTATTGCCCCAGATTTGGCTGCTGGAGCAGTTTTCCTTCTGCAAGTGCAATGAACCTGATTTAAAGAAACCCTGACATTGTATTTGGGACGCGGGTGGCACTGTGGGTTAAACCACAGAGCCTAGGACTTGCCGATCAGAAGGTCGGCAGTTCGAATCCCCGCGACGGGGTGAGCTCCCGTTGCTCGGTCCCTGCTCCTGCCAACCTAGCAGTTCGAAAGCACGTCAAAGTGCAAGTAGATAAATAGGTACCACTCTGGCGGGAAGGTAAACGGCGTTTCTGTGCGCTGCTCTGGTTCGCCAGAAGCGGCTTAGTCATGCTGGCCACATGACCCGGACGCTGTACGCTGGCTCCCTTGGCCAATGAAGCGAGATGAGCACCACAACCCCAGAGTCGGCCACGACTGGACCTAATGGTCAGGGGTCCCTTTACCTTTACCTAACATTGTATTTAAGTAGCCCAAGGAAGCTGAATTGGGGGACCTGTACACGTTACACAAACCTAAGCTCATATTTGCAAGTTTTGCATGATTTGTTGGGGTTCCCTCCTTGCAGCAAGGCGCAAACAGCTATGGAGGGGAATGAAGCTGTTCCTAGGTGACAAGATAAAATCTTGCTCAGACCTTGGGGAAAAGCTATAGAGCAGTGGTAGAACACACCCTTTGTTCAAATGCTCTTCAATTCCCAGCTCCTTTCAGCGCCAGCCAGCAAAGCCAATGGCTTTCACTGGATTGATTTCTTTCACCGATTTCATAGCCTGCCCTCCTTCCTCCCAAAGGGAGCTCAGGGTGACTCACAAGATGTTGCGTGTGGGTGTGGGGAAGAATCTGAGAACATTTCTTAGATTTGGAATCACAACCAGCTTCTAAAGCAACAGCAATTAATATAGATAGCCTAGTTTTCCTTTGCAAAGGGAAAAGCAAGTCTCCCTAGGCTGGAGAGGGTTTGTTGTGAGGGTGGGGGAGAGAGCCTCACAGGTCTCCCCTCTGCCTGATGTAGACAATACAGAGCTAAATGGAGCAATGGTATGACTTGGGGCTGAGGCAACAGTATGAGCCTATAGCTACAAAGGTAAGGATGGGACCCTGGCTCTGTGACAGAGGTTTTCTGCAGGTAGTTACAGGAGTCCAGTCCAGTGCCAGATTTATATATAAGCTAAACAATTAGATTAGATTTATATATAAGCTAAACAAGGGACGCGGGTGGCGCTGTGGGTAAAACCTCAGCGCCTAGGACTTGCGGATCGCATGGTCAGCGGTTCGAATCCCCGCGGCAGGGTGAGCTCCCGTTGTTCGGTCCCAGCTCCTGCCCACCTAGCAGTTCGAAAGCACAATTAAGTGCAAGTAGGTAAATAGGTACTGCTTTCTAGCGGGAAGGTAAATGGCGTTCCGTGTGCTGCTCTGGTGCCGGTTTGCCGGAGCAGCTTCGTCACGCTGGCCACGTGACCCGGAAGTGTCTGCGGACAGCGCTGGCTCCCGGCCTCTAGAGTGAGATGAGCGCACAACCCTAGAGTCTGTCAAGACTGGCCCGTACGGGCAGGGGTACCTTGACCTTTACTAAACAAGCTATAGCTTAGGGCCCCACTCTCTTGGGGGCCCCAATTTTTATTTATATTTTTAAAAATCCTTTTTATTAAGTTTTCCATTTTAACAATCCAATCAAGTCACATTAAATATTCCAGATTATACATATACATATCAAATAATCCAAATATTCTGCCAAATTATATTTTTTTTGTTGGGACTTCCCATGCTTCAAGTTCGGGGGGGCTCTGATCATCTCATATCTCTACTGCTTTTGATAGTCATTTCTAATAGTTCCTTTAAATCTTCCTGTTGTTAACCTTCCTTCTTTCACGGCCTCTGAGTTGTTTCCACAAGCGAGTTGAAGTAAAATGATGTGTTTTTAGGGCCCACCAAAAAATTAAAGGGAAAAAAACCCTGGATGTACATTTCCAAAATACAGTGGTACCTTGGTTTACGAACTCCATCTGTTCCAGAAGTCTGTTCTTAAACCAAAGCGTTCTTAAACCAAGGCATGCTTTCCCATAGCAGCGGGGGACTCAATTTACAAATGGAACACACTCAACATGTTCTGCTTCCAAGGCAAAGTTCACAAACCAAAACACCTACTTCCGGGTTTGCAGCGTTCTTAATCCAAGTTGTTCATAAACCAAGCTGTTCTTAAACCAAGGTAGCACTGTATAAGATAGAAAACTAATAAAACAAAACCTACATATAGTGACAGTGTTTGTGTGTTGCGTAGGCTCCTATGATGTAATTAATGGGCCCCCCTGCTAGCCTGCTCCCTAAAATATCCCTGGTTTGCTCATTTCTATATATAGGGTGCCTACATTCTGCATGGGCTGGTTGCACGGCAACATGTGCAAATGGCTATAGATGCCCTATCAGGTCCATAAATGACCATATAGCATATATTCAACACAGAAAACAGCAACAATTTGTTGTTGACAATGGACAGCTGGACATATAAAGGGCCCCATTCCCTTCAGTAGCTTAGGGCCTCATCAAACCTAAATCTGGCCCTGGTCCAGTCCCTGGAGTCTCTGGGAAAAGTTCTGTGGCTGAAAATCCAGATTGCTGGTGGTGGTCAGTGCAGACCAGGGGTTCTCAAAGGGTGGGGTACAGGAGAGGATGATGAGCGTAACAGGAAGATTCAAGGACAATGAAATAAACATTGAAACATTTCAGTGTGGTGTATACAGGCAACGGCCAATTAAGATGCGTCTGATTAATGTGCGATCATGCACGCACACTGAACCCAGAAGTGACCCCCAAATCTCATGGAAAGGGCAGAACAGAATGGAACACGTTATGTGGGCCCCACGCACGCATGCAGGGGTCCAGAACGTAACCCCCTCACGAAAAGACGATTGCTTGTAGTGTAGTATAGTATCAAAACAATTTTGTTTGGATATAAAACCAGAAACAGTAGCGGTGCATCTCTTTCCAAGAGCATTCTCTTGCAGTTCTCCATGACATATTGCTGTCAACAGGGATTTTCAACTCTGGCAAATACGAAAGATCGGAAAAGAGAAAGGCTTCTTTGCATTGATGAGGAGATGAAAGTTTGTTTGTCTCAAATTAGGCCTAATATAAACTAGATTATGTGGCAAAAGCCAGCACACGCCCCTCATTGAGTGTGTAGACGTACGTAAGTTACATATGTAGGAGGCTCGTTTATAATTATATTTTGGGAAGGATTTGTGCGTTCTTATGCAGTTGCATCCTTTTCTCCTTTATAATGTGGTCCCATGATCATTTTATAAAGTAGTTGTGTTCTGTGTTATATAAACCAAGGAGTTGTTTCTTTTTGTTTTCCAATAAGAATTTCGGTGCGGCAATGGCAAAATCCTGAAAGTGTGGCCCAGGGGGAAAAGTCTGAGACCCACTGGTGTGCTGATCTTGATGAACCCAGAGGTCAGCTTCAGCAAGCCAGGCACCTCTATACGTTCATGTCCTCAATGGCCACCTTCTGAGATTTTGCCAGGTATTATTAGGGACGCAGGTGGCGCTGTGGGTAAAACCTCAGTGCCTAGGACTTGCCGATCGCATGGTCGGCGGTTTGAATCCCCGCGGCGGGGTGAGCTCCCGTCTTTCGGTCCCAGCTCCTGCCCACCTAGCAGTTCGAAAGCACCCCTAAGTACAAGTCGATAAATAGGTACCGCTTTATAGCGGGAAGGTAAACGGCGTTTCCGTGTGCTGCGCTGGTGCCAGCTCGCCAGAGCAGCTTCGTCACGCTGGCCACGTGACCCGGAAGTGTCTCCGGACAGCGCTGGCCCCCGGCCTCTTAAGTGAGATGGGCGCACAACCCTAGAGTCGGACACGACTGGCCCGTACGGGCAGGGGTACCTTTACCTTTATTAGCTATTGCAGTCAAGTGTTTTCTCGCACAGAGTTGATTCACGGACGTGGAAAGGAGGATTGGCTCTTCTCTTGCTTTGTCATCTGCTCTTAACAAATCCCGATTTTTCCATTTGTGTCCTTTCTCCTCCTGCATCAGAACGCCAAAGTTCTCATCCAGAAGTAAGTATCATTCCTTGCCTTTTGCCTCAGCATATCTACCCTTTATATAGCTGTCAACCGTCCCTTATTTGGTGGGAAACTCCCTTATCCCAGCGCCGTGTCCCGCTGCTGTCCCTTATTGATGATGTCCCTTAAATTTCCCGGGTTTCATGCTCGCCCAGCTCGGGAGGGAAGCAGCGGCTCGGGGTCCTCTGCCGCGAGAGAGAGCACGCGCACAAGCTGCCGCGTCTCCGTCTCTCCCTTTTCCCCCTCAGGGGCACGTTGTGAGGAGGCGGGTGGCGGCGGGCAGGCAGGCAGCCCCTCTCTTGTGAGACTTCCACCGTGCTGGCAGGGGAAGCCGGAGGCGGCAGCGGTGGCGGCTGAGGAGGTGGCCTGAGGGAGGAGGAAGAGGAGGGGATGGGGAGGGATGCAGAAGGGCGGCGCTTCAGTGGCCGCAGCGGCGCCGCAACCGCCTCATGCCAGGCTCGTGGACAGCATGGGCGAGAGTCTCTCTCCCTCCCCCCCCTCGGGCGGGGAAGGTCCGATGGAACTCCTCGCGCCAGGAGGACGGCAGCCCCAACGTGCTGCTTAGCATACCCTCCAACCAGTGCAGCATCTTAATGTAGTGATTTCCCCCTCTGCATCCCTTTCATAACTCTGTTTTTATAAATCCTTTGTCCATCCATAGTTCAAATTTTTACTACAAGTTTTCTGTCAATCCTACCAATGTATGCAACTCTTTACAATAGCTTTTCAACTAAATTATAAACTTTCCCCATTCTTTATTAAAGAGGTCCTCTTCCTGGTTTCTAGTTCTGCCTGTAAGCTTTGCCATCTCGATGTCGTTGTTCAGTTTTGTCTGCCACTCTTCTTTGGTGGGGAGCCTTAGGATCATCTAGCCCAACCCCCTGCAAAACACAGTCAGTGGCAGCAAAAGCAGCATGGCTCCATCAGTGCCGGATTTCTGTATAAGCTAAGCCAAAATCCCTTATTTTTGCTGCTGATCCCTTATTTTCGAGGCTGCTGGTCCCTTATTTTCAAATCTGTAAGTTGACAGCTATGACCCTCTTCCTTCCTCTCCTCTCGAGTTTTCGGGTTTGAAAAGATGGAAGCTCTCCACCCGGGACCTGTGATTGCTTTCCCTCCTGCAGGATCTCTGATATGTCTCAGAGCTGCAAACCTGAGAAGCTGGAGTCAGGCTATGACAACATGGATCACTACACAGTCGATTTCAATGCGGAAGAACGACTTCTCTACCAGCTGGATTTTATCAAAGGTGGGGGAGGGAAGCACCCCTAGGTGCCCCCATTCAAGTTATTGAAGGATTTGGACCAGGATTTGATTGATTTATTTCACAATTTTTTTATTATTAGCTCACTCTTCATTAAGAACAACCCCGTGCATTTATTTTTACTTATTTCATAAAATTTATACACCACTTCATTATAACAAAATAATAAAATAAAAGAGGTTTACAAAAAAAGAATAAAACAATAAACTTAGCAGTAAACATGGTTTTAAAAAAGCTGTTTAAAACATTCCAAAATAATTAAGACCGACAAGCTAAAAACAGATTAAAACACATGTAAACATTCTACATATCTGGGTAAACAGAAGTGTTTTTAGCAGGTGCAGAAAAGAGTACAGTGGTACCTTGGTTCTTGAACTTAATCCATTCCAGGAGTCGGTTCGACTCCCAAAATGGTTCAACAACTGAGGCAAGGCTTCCAATTGGCTGCAGGAACTCAAGCAGAAGCCATGTCGGAGGTTTGGCTTCTGAAAAATGTTCACAAACCGGAACACTTACTTCCGGGTTTGCGGCATTCAGGAGCCGATTTGCTCAGCAATTAAGCCGTTCGGGATCCAAGGTTTGACTGTACAGTGAAGCCCCATGTCAATCAGCAGGGAGTTCCAAAGTGAATATAAATCCTCAATACACAATAAAACCCAATTACGTGAAACCAGAAGTTGGGATGGATCAAGAGTTCCTATTCTGGAGTCCAAAGTCCATGCTGGGATTTTGATGGAGCATGTGGATCCAGATATCTAAGTCCGCACAACAAGTCAAAAGCAGTCTTCAGATTGCGGTGGCTAATTTTGTGCCTTGAGGATGTTGAACAGCAGCTCCTGCCACCATGGCCATGTCAGTGTTTGAAAAAGAAAAGGTTCTGACCTCCTTTTTACTCCTTTGCCTAGAGCCAGTGTAGTGTAGTGGTTAAGGGCGGTAGACTCGTAATCTGGTGAACCGGGTTCGCTTCCCCGCTCCTCCACATGCAGCTGCTGGGTGACCTTGGGCTAGTCACACTTCCCTGAAGTCTCTCAGTCTCACTCACCTCACAGAGTGTTTGTTGTGGGGGAGGAAGGGAAAGGAGAATGTTAGCTGCTTTGAGACTCCTTCGGGTAGTGATAAAGCGGGATATCAAATCCAAACTCTTCTTCTTCTTCTTTGCCTAGTCCTCAGACCTTAGTTGGCACAAAAGGTCTCAAAGACCTTAGTTGGTCTTTGAGAAAGAGTATACTTGCAGAGTATTGCTGCTTTTATTTTAAAAAAGTCTCCTTCTCCAACCCTGACCGACAGCTTTTACACACCAAACACAACCAGCTTTCTACCATCCAACCAACCCATACCCAACACTAACATTGACCACTCTATATATACAGGTACAATTTGGTGAATGGTCGCATGAGTCATTGTAGGCCGCTGACTCATGCTGACTTAGTTCTTTTAGCTTTAAGGAAACAGCGGCCAATTTTTAGCCGTGACAGGCAAATGGTCAGTGATGATGGCAGTTGCAGTCCAAGAGTGTTTGGGGTGTAGAGCATCGGGAGAGGAGGATGCTACCTTAGACGATTCTTCTGTGCAACCACTGTGTGCCACCAGCGCCTTAACCTTCAGGCTGCCTTTTTTAAAAAATCCCCTTTCTAGTTGAAGAAGAGTCTGAGCCAATGGCAGAGGAAGATGGCGCCTCTGCCGAGGCTGAAGATGCTTTGGCAGAGTACGGGGCAGCAGCTGGCGAGGGACGAGAGGACCCTGAGGACTTCTTCACTCCTGGAAAGGAAGAGCAGGCTCAGGGAAGAGCTCCAATGACAAACGAGATGCTGAGCAGTGGGGTGAAAGCTACGCCGCAGGCTGGGACAGAAGGCCTGGCTGGCAAAGAGGACAATTTATGGGGTGGCCAGCAGGTGAGATCCAGGTCTAGGTTCCTTAAGTGCGAAGTGGGGCTGCTCTTGGGAGGCAAGAAAGGGGACTTGGGAGGTTGAGACTCCTCTGTCTCCTTGGGCTGTGTGCTTGATCTGCAGGATTTTTGCTTTTCTCATAAAGGGTTAGGATTGATAGAAAGGCTAGCTAGTTTTGTGGGAATGTTAAAGATAGTCAGAAAGGATATATTGAATAAGTATTATCCTTCCTTCACTCACACTAGTGAAGTGATGTAGCAGAGCAGATTCCCCTCACTATATCTGGAAGCTAGTTTGCAGGTTCGTTTGACTCTCTTGTTGTTGTTTAGTCGTTTAGTCATTTCCGACTCTTCATGACCCCGTGGACCAGAGCATGCCAGGCACTCCTGTCTTCCACTGCCTCCCGCAGTTTGGTCAAACTCATGCTGGTAGCTTCGAGAACACCATCCAATCATCTCATCCTCTGTCGTCCCTCTTCTCCTTGTGCCCTCCATCTTTCCCAACATCAGGGTCTTTTCCAGGGAGTCTTCTCTTCCCATGAGGTGGCCAAAGTCTTGGAGCCTCAGCTTCAGGATCTGTCCTTCCAGTGAGCACTCAGGGCTGATTTCCTCAAGAATGGAGAGGTTTGATCTTCTTGCAGTCCATTTCCCTTTTGATCCCTCTTAAAAGAATAAAGATGCTAGAGTCTTTCTGAGCAAAGTAACAAAAAGTTTACTCACATTTCAGTTCACAATTTGATCCCTGAAAGGCAGGCTTTACTTAGTGGTTACACAACAAAGTGTGAGTTCATCTCATATGGAAACTGAACTCATGTGCTGCTGGCTGAGATCCAGCAGACAGCAGAATTTACATTAAGACAACACTGGAACAATACAACTTCAAGACTGAGAAAATGGCTGCATGACTCAGATCTTTTCTGGAGACAGCCAGAGCCACATCCATCTCCTGGGTCACATGCAGGGGGAGGATGCTCCAGACCAGTGGAACAGGAAGTTGCCCTGACTGGATGTCCCTCTGCCTGTGCCCACTCTAAGGAAACAAGGAATGTTGCATTTGACTGTACCAATGGATTACATCCCACAAGTTTTCCATGGCATTTTGTTCTGACATCTCAAGGTAGGGATAATGAACCAGTGCACCCCAGGTGTGGTCAAGTTATAGGTCCCACAACCTCTGACCATGTTGACTGGCACTGATGGGGGTCCACCAAACATTTGGAAGGACATATGTCCCCCTTGCCTGTTCTTAAGTCATGCAGAGGCTCATGTCACTAGACCCTCCTCTAATTCCCCGTGCCCCTAAAGTGAAGCAAGGACTGCTCCTTTATGGAATGAGCACACTCTATATTTCAGAAGCTTTAAAAAGCTTCTGAGTCCTCCCCTTACAGGGAAAGACCATCATCGTTCAGTGGCAGAGCATCTACTTTGCATGCAGAAGGTCCAGGTTCAATTCCTGGCATCGCCAGGTAGGACCAAGAAAGACCCTCTCTGCAATCCTGGAGGACCACTCATTGTGGACAAGACAAAACTAGATGGACCAGGGTTCATAAGAGCTAAGGAGCATAGGAAGGCAGGGCTGTTACCTTCAGCTGTGCTCCACCTTCAGAAACCAAAGCAAAACCCAATTTCCACTTTGAGGTGGTGGCCCTGCAGCAAACGGCCTCTGTTCCTATCTGGGAAAAATGCCGGAGACCTCCTTACACAGAAGTAGCTTGAGTTAAGTTGCCCTCCACCCTTCCATCATCTTCCCATGGTGTCAATCTATTGCATTCCATGTCTTTGCAGTACTGTCCCTTAGGACAGGTGTGGGAAATTTCAGGCCTGGGGGTCCAATGTGGCCCTATAGTCCTCTCTGTTTGGCCCTCAGGACTCTTCCCAGGCCTCACCCCTCAATGGCTCTGCTTCACATCCTGAGTATTTTTGCCTAGATGGAGGATAGGGGTATGTGGATGTGTGAGTGTGCATAGATAAAAAAAAATTAAACTTTTTTGCTCCACCCAATTTGCCTCCGGCCCCTTCCACCACTGCCATGCGGCCCTTAGAACATTGACCAGAAAGCAACGTGACCCTCAAGCCAAAAATGGTTCCCCCTTGCCCGTCTTTCTCATTCGAAAGGAAACAGAACAGCATGACCAAATAAAAGAGGCAAATGATGGCATATACAGGCAATTATCACAACAATTCATTTTGTTTCCCTTTGAGTTTTTAAAATGAGATGGCTAATGAGTAAAAATCGAACTTGTTTAATGAGCTGTGTAATTGTTTTTAAAGGTGTTGCAGAGTTTTTGAACTCAAGAGTTGGGCAGAAGCTTAGGTTTCATTGTAGCCTTTCATCTTCTCCTGATTTTTTCTTTCTTTCGGAGTCAGCTGGATGCAGAGCTCCATCTGACCGGCTCCAGTCCCCCAGCAACCTTGCCAGAATGCGATTTACAGGGTAATGTTCTCAGCCAAGACATGGGGCAGCCCAAAGTGGAGGTAGCCTCTGGCGAAGCCTTCAGCACCACGGACAGCTCAGCAGAGACCGAGGAGAGCAGAGGCCTGGGCAATGGTAGGGAATGCGAAGCTGGTCACGCCCATCTTCTGAATGGGATGGCACCTGCCACCAGCCAGGTCAGTGGCAACACGAAGCTCGTCTTATTTGTGTTGGTTGTCATGTTACCCAACTTTCTCTGCTCATTTTGTGGGGAAGCCGTAAGCATTCTCAACTGGCATGGCTCTCCTTGGGTGGGAGGAGTCTAATATGTAGCCAGGCTCAGAACTGTTGGTTCCTGTTCAACTGTGGACCTTCCACCATTCATCCTCATTGGATGTCCCCAGACATACGAGAACGAGAGAGAGAAGCTTTCCTCTTTCTATATACGCACCAGTCCTAAGCCTCTTCCACATGCCTCTTCTCATCTCCCCCACCCCTTGTCTTTCTTTTAAAGTAAAATAAGCACCAAGATAAAAGGGACGCGGGTGGCGCTGTGGGTTAAACCACAGAGCCTAGGACTTGCCGATCAGAAGGTTGGCCATTTGAATCACCGCAACAGGGTGAGCTCCCGTTGCTCGGTCCCTGCTCCTGCCAACCTAGCAGTTCGAAAGCACGTCAAAGTGCAAGTAGATAAATAGGTACCACTCCGGCGGGAAGGTAAATGGTGTTTCCTTGTGCTGCTCTGGTTCTCCAGAAGCGGCTTAGTCATGCTGGCCACATGACCCGGAAGCTGTATGCTGGCTCCCTCGGCCAATAAAGCGAGATGAGCACTGCAACCCCAGAGTCAGCCATGACTGGACCTAATGGTCAGGGGTTCCCTTTACCATTACCTTTAAGCACCAAGATGCTTCAGTCTTTTCTCAGATGGGAATACACAGTTATTAGGAACATGTCAGCTGTTGCATTACAGAGTATAAAAAAAGAAATAAACAAAGATGCATACAGTAACTGTTTCCTGAGTTTAATCTTCAGCCTATCCATGATCAGGCCTTTGGAAAATATCGCTGTGGATTTTGACCTCACCCCTTCTAAAGGGGCAATTTTGTGCCACCTTTAGGCTCCATTCCATTGCAAGATAGTTAATTCCTGCTTTAGCAGCCAGCACTGTGCAGATGCAGCTGTGGCAGTAAAGGGACCCCTGACCATTAGGTCCAGTCGTGGCCGACTCTGGGGTTGCAGTGCTCATCTCGCTTTATTGTGCAAGGGAGCTGGCGTACAGCTTCCGGATCATGTGGCCAGCATGACTAAGCCACTTCTGGTGAACCAGAACAGCGCATGGAAATGCCATTTACCTTCCCGCCGGAGCAGTACCTATTTATCTACTTGCACTTTGACGTGCTTTTGAACTGTTAGGTTGGCAGGAGCAGAGACTGAGCAATGGGAGCACACCCTGTTGCGGTGATTCAAATGGCCAACCTTCTGATCGGCAAGTCCTAGGCTCTGTGGTTTAACCCACAGCGCCACCCGCGTCCCCAAGCTGTGGCAGTGGGAAGGGTTAAATCAATCTTTTTGAGTCCACGACTCCCTTGACCAACTACATTCTTTCTGTGGCCCCTGTGGGGCTCAGGGGTCCAGTTATGTCACCCCTTGCCTGCAGAGCTGGCAGCCCCTCACCTTTTTTCAAACACCCTCCCTTGTGGAGCTTTCCCTCAGCATCCTGTCCTCTCCCCTTTCCTTGGGAGTCCTCTGAACAGCTGCAGCTGCTGCCCCTGGCCTCTGAGCTGCCCCCACTGCCCCACAGAGAGGTGCCCCCTCACACTGCCCCACAGGGGCCTGGGAAGCACCCCCTGGCCAGCCCCAGATGCACTATTCACCTGGGGAGCTTGTAGCCAGGGCTGCTGCAACAAACAGCTGTACAAGCCTTTGGGAGGCAGAGACGCAAGAGGGAGGGAAGGGAAGGAAAGAGAGACAGGGGCCAGTGTTGCCCACAGCACCCCTGACCACCATTCAAGGCACCCCGAAGTGCCACGGTACACTGTTTGAAAACCACAGGGTTAAATAATCAAGCCATGGCTTGGCTTCCGCAAAGCGAGTGCAAAGTGGCCTTGCTTCTGAGAACAGCTCTCTCTTCTCTCTTCCTCCAGCAGGCAATGTTGAAGTGGGGCATTTATTTGGCTGTTATATATTAGCAACAGGGAGCAGGTGTCCTAGAACAGTGCCCATAATTGCATGCGGGGTGGGGGCCCTTCTGCTCCTCCAGACCCCATTGAGAGTGAAACCTTGATGCCTCTCGCAGCGATGATTAAACTCATCCATCCCTTTGCTTGCTTCAAAGAGCTGCCTGGGCCGCCTGGCCTTGCAACGGACTCTTGGCGAGTCTATTCTTAGCTTCTCTTGTTCTGTCCTTCCTCGCTTAACAATACCTCAAGTATGAGCCACACGTTTCATCTGCGAGAGCTTTCACTGAGGTAGGAGCTGGGGCTAAGAGGGAGAAGAGGGAAGCTCAGTTTCTGGAGGTGTTTGCACCTGGGTCGATGGGCCCAGAGGATGGTGCTGGGTGTCATTTGAAACATGTTACCTGCATGACATGTATTCCAAGAGTGGAAAGAATGCTGTTGCCTTCAGCTCCTGTTTATGGGTTCCCATAGGCACCTGGTTGGCTGCTGTGTGAAATGGAAGCTGGACTAGATTGGGCCTTTGGCCTGATCCAGCAGCCGGGCTCTTCTTTCCAAGCGCAATTCAAAGTGTTGGTGCTGACCTTAAAGCCCTAAACTGCCTTGGCCCAGAATATCTGAAGGAGCATCTCCACCCCCATCGTTCAGCCCAGACACAGAGGTCCAGTGCCAAGGGCCTTCTGGAAGTTCCCTCACTGTGAGAAGTGAGGTTACAGGAACCAGGCAGAGGGCCTTCTCAGTAGTGGCACCCGCCCTGTGGAACGCCCTCCCATCGGATGTCAAGGAAATAAGCAACTATCTGACTCTTAGAAGACATCTGAAGGCAGCCCTGTTTAGGGAAGTTTTTAATGACTGATGTTTTATTGCCTTTTTAATAGTCTGTTGGGAGCCTCCCAGAGTGGCTGGGGAAACCCAGCCAGATGGGTGGGGTATAAATTATTATTATTATTATTATTATTATTATTATTATTATTATTATTTCTTCCTGGTTTCTATGTACTCTGCATGCACTGGTTGCCTCTATGTTCCTAGAAGTGCACACTCCAAAACTCTCTTCCTCCATCCTTGTCCTTGGAAGCTGCTTTTAACTCCTTGAACCCCCCTCTTTTTCCCAGGCTCCTGAATCCAGTCCCACCGCTGAGAGATGGAGAAGCGAGGAGATTACTGAACCTCTCCTCAGCAGCTTCTTCAACCCGACTACACTTTGGCTACACGATTAAGGAGAGGTAGTGCAGAGGTGAGGACAGAACAGGAGGACATCTCACTCCACGCTGGCAGTTTCCATGCTTTCTGCCATGCAGTCGCTAAAATACAGGAAGGGAGCTTGAAAGGGAGGTCATCAGATTGGACTCTCCTCCAGCAACAGAAACACAACAGAGAAAATAAAAAAAATCCTTCCAGTAGCACCTTAGAGACCAACTGTTTCTGAAGCCTTAAGTCAGGGGTGGGCAGAAGGTCAACTGGGATCTCCTGGCTGAACGTCTGAGTGATTTGAACTCAATCCACAAGGGTTTTTGGTGTCCAATTGTTTAACAGTGGCAACAATAAAATGCCCCCCCAATCCTGCTGAAATGAAGAAGCCAGTGGTGGGGGAAAGGACTTTGAGAGCAGTTGATTCTATGATTCTATGATTTCTGGCCCTAAGAACAAATTATTCATTGCATCATTTATATTCCACCTTTTCCTCCAATGAGAGCCAGTGTGGTGTAGTGGTTAAGAGTGGTAGACTCGTAATCTGGTGAACTGGGTTCACTTCCCCGCTCCTCCACATGCAGCTGCTGGGTGACCTTGGGCCAGTCACACTTCTCTGAAGTCTCTCAGCCCCACTCACCTCACAGAGTGTTTGTTGTGGGGGAGGAAGGGAAAGGAGAATGTGAGCCGCTTTGAGACTCCTTCGGGTAGTGATAAAGCGGGATCTCAAATCCAAACTCTTCTTCTAGGTGGTGTGCATGGTTCTCCCCGCCTCCTCCAATCCCAACAACAGCCCTGTGAGGTAGGTTAGGCTGAGAGGCACTGACTGGCCAAGGTCCCTCAGCAAGGCTCATGGCTGAGGGGGGGATTTGCACCCTGGTCTCCCAGGTCCTAGTCCAGCACCCTGACCGCTACAGCATTCTTGGGCTCAAAATTCTCCTGCAGTTCCTGCCATCAAAACTTGGCTTTGATAGGTGCATCTCTGGGTTTGAGTGAAAGCAACGTCTTCCCACCAAAGCTTGAAGTCTTTCCACCATAAGATCACAACATCCATGATTCAGTGTCTCTGAATGTTGCAGTGAGAATGCAGGGCAGTATCAGGGGACGTCATTCTGCCTGGCGTTCTAAGACCTCGCCACTGCCATCTCTGCAGAATGTGTGCAATATCTGGAGGATTGTGAATTGATGGTTGTGTCAATGGAAGGAGTGAAGGAATCTGGAGCAGGGTTTTGGAAGCCTCAGCTTTGGGGACCAAATGTGGCCCTCCAGAGCTTCTTTGGCCCCTGAGGCTCTTCCTGGGCCATGCTTCATCCCATTACTCTGGCTTCTCCTCGAGAGATTTTGCCTATGATCATGACATTTGTTTGTTGGGGTGGAAGGTGGAGAGAGGCAGGGGGTGTAGAAACATCTGGTTTTTGCGTGGCTGGAATGTAGCTTCCTGCATGAGGTAAGAGGCATATCTCTTGCTATGCCTGTTTTCACCTCTGGCCCTTCCCTGCACTAGCATGTGGCCCCTGGAAGGTTATCCATAAGGGAATGTGGCCCTTGAAAAATGTCCCCCACCCCTGCTCTGGCTAGTGAATGAAGCTATTGCAGATGGATCCATTTTGGACTGGCTAGAATCCAGACTAGGGTCTGAGCCAGAGCACAGATGCTTAAAACCCACTGCCTGACCCTCTCTCCACCTTGAGGTTTTCCATATATCATAACAAGATGCTCCCTTGCATCCTGATACATGTTCTCCTGGTGTTTGATCTCTTGGTGTTTTCTTGATCATCAGGTCCAACTGCACCCTTCAAGAGAATCTGTCGCTCAGCACACCCGTTGGCTAACCTACTTCATGATCAGCAAGGAGGGAGACGCGCCAGTTCAGAGCTCAAGCAAGTGAGCCAGACCACATACTCAAAAGGACAGCACCCCCTTGGCACTCCCCAGCTTTCCCATTTCCTCTCCTTTGACTGTCACCCCCCCAACCACATTCTCACCTTATTTCTCTCCCACTTTGGTGCTTTCCAAAGAGGATTATTAAATTCAGGATGGTGCAAAGTGCGTCCCCACCGGTTGAATTTGTTTAGAATCTGTGATTTCCAGAGGTCGAAGGCCCCGCCTGTGTTTGACGCCAGCTCTAGAAGGAAGCAGCCTTATTAAAAAATAAAGTTTATTCCGGACACTTCAGTGTACACCCTCCGGTTGGGTGGTTGCTTTAGTAATCCATTGGGGACTGAGAGATAACAACATCTGTACATGACTAAATCAGGCAGGGCACATTTGGATCAGGAGGTTTGAACTGCTGGGTATTGGCTAGAGAAGCCGCAATGTGTTCGGCACTCTGAACACACACACACACACACACACACACACACGTTTTGCCATGATCACATCCTCATGATCCCAAAGCTGTAGAAAAGATATAAGACATGCTTATAGCACCCCACCCCCAAGAACACTCAATAAGCTGTACATTTTTGGCAGGATTTAATCACAGGCTTGACGATGAACAGTTTAAGGACCTCTGCTTCTAGCTGAGTTCCAGCACAGGAAAAATTCTCCCCATCCCACCCCCTTTATTTGAAATTTAAAAAATGACCTCCTTCCTTATCAGGAAAGAGTAGGAGACTAGATTCCCCTTGACTCTTCTTCAAAGATCTGCTTGCAGAATCACCGTGGCTTTTCAGTTCTTAAAAAATTCTGTACGAACCTCTGCAGGTTTCCTGCCTTTCGAACAAGCACTTCAAATTTTGTGTTGTACCTGCGAATGCAACACTAGAAAAAACTCTGCACAACGTTCTAGGAGAGCATTTTCACTCATGTTTGACGCCTGATAGCCTTGCTCAACTCATACCCCCCACTCCTTCTGCCATCTCAAATTTGGAACACCTTTTGCTCGGAAACTGCCCTTTCCCCCCTTATGCCCCTCTGTCAAAGAGGGCTGGCGTGTATTGACAGCACTATAGAAAGTATATTAACAATGTGAATTAGAAACTTTTTGGGAGTTGTAGCAAAACACATTGTCCTCTTTTGTTGCTGGGCAGAAGAGTCCAATATAACACACACACACACACACACACACACATACAAGTGTAGGAAAAATTGACAGAGCAGACCCAAGATTAAGGGATATCACATCATTCCCACCCCCCAAAAAAGAACACCGAACTGCACAATTGAAAGAATAAATGTTAAGCTTTACAGTTATGCCCAGTCCCTCCATTCAATCCCTGTTCACTTGCCAATATTATGCAGCAATATTTTGTTACTCCGAGCTTTCTGGGCCAGTCTCTCTTCGCGGGACATCTCCAGGAACTCCCGGAGGAGGTGAAAGGTCAAGTCTAGGGAGTTTGGGCGGCCATCGCGTCTTTTGCTGGAGGCGGCAGACCGCTCAGCTCTCTGCTGCTGATGCCGGGACCCCGATCTGGCCTCTGGTGGTTTGCAGGACCCGGGAGATCTTTGGTCTTGGAAGAGTCCCTCTTCTGAACCGGCCGGGGGTCTTGGGGGGTTGTCTTCCCACTCTGGGCGGCTAAGCCACTGCTCCCAGCTCAGGCTGCTTACTGGGAGCAGATGGGACATGGCTGGCCTGGGCCACTCTGAAGGGAGGCAGGATTTCAGGGGGAGAAACAGGAGCAGGAGGCAAAAGGCAGCCGAGACCATCTGTGCCATCATCAAACGTCCTTTGTCTAGGAGAGATAGATAGATAGATAATTTATTACGGTCAAAGACCAGCTCACATAACACAACAAAAACAGCGTTCATTAAGATAAAATATACAATTGGAGCAGATTGCAGCAATAGCTCATGAGTTAAAATTGAGATACAGTGGTACCTCGGGTTAAGTACTTAATTTGTTCCGGAGGTCTGTTCCTAACCTGAAACTGTTCTTAACCTGAAGCACCACTTTAGCTAATGGGGCCTCCTGCTGCTGCCGTGCCGTCGGAGCACGATTTCTGTTCTTATCCTGAAGCAAAGTTCTTAACCCGCGGTGCTATTTCTGGGTTAGCGGAGTCTGTAACCTGAAGCGTATGTAACCTGAAGCATATGTAACCCGAGGTACCACTGTATATACATATACCCATACAACTGAGATTTGGGCTACCATAAAAAACTGACCCTTAGACTCCCCAAAGGGCAACTTCAGCATTTCCCTAGTAAGCTATTTTATTCTAGAGGATGATCTGTGCCTACAAATCTGGGCGCAGAATCTGGCTACCAGCCAGGTCGACTTATGATCTTTGCCTAAGAGGAGAGAATTCAGTTTAGACTTGTCTGAAAGATCGGTGATCTAGGAGAGAATGCAGCATCTGAGTTAACTCTGGGCTCGGCAGGAATGGATTTACTTCAAAGCACCTCCCCACCCCCACACTCCAAAAAGCCCCAAAGGGGCTAACAATGTAAACAGCATCAAAACAAGAATGAAAAACAAGCTAGCCGCTTAAACACTGGAGAACTGTGAACATGCAAGGGTTTCCACTAGCATAATGAGACTTTTCTCCCTCTCTCTTCATCCATGCCCCCCCCAATTGGTTCAGGAGGTTGGGGGAAACCCCAGAACACCATGTGAGGAGTGGAGAGGGGAGAATCATTCCACCCGGCCAGCTGAAAATCTTGCACTGGTGGAATGAGGGTCATAGTGCTACAATTATTTACTCCCTAGGTTTTTTAGGGGGGGTCTGGGGGTGAGTGGCCGTAGCTTGGTTATAGAGCAGCACAATCAAGCAGTACATCAATTGAAATCAATTAATAAGATAGCAGATCTGTCTGAGAACTTTGAGGGTTGCTGCCAGCCTGAGTAAGCAATATTGAGCTAGGTGGACGTGCTTTAAAGCATCATCAGAGTCTCTCTCTCTCTCTCTCTCTCTCTCTCTCTCTCTCTCTCTCTCTCTCATGCTTCTCCACGTTGCAGAGAACCTTAGTATCACAGAATTACAGTGTTGGGAATCAAAGAATCATCTATTCTAACCCCCTGCTGTGCAGGAATTTCCACATCTTACTGTCAAGGAAGCCCAGCCTTCACCCAAACACAGTTTAAAGACTCCTGCAACTAGCTCAGGGCACTTTGCATTCAACTCAGTTCATTTGTGCCACCTGATAATGTTTCAGGAACACTCCAGGAAGCAGCCTTAAAACCGGTCAGTCTAAACTCAGCCTGCTGACTCTGATTGGCAGCAGCTCTCCAGGGTCGCTCCTGTCACCTGCTATATCTGATGCTTCTAACTGCAGGTGCCAGGGGCTAAATTTCAGATTACCCAGGTGTAGTTAGAAATGTCTCCATTCTGAAAGCTTGGAGAGCCACTGCCAGTCAGTGCTGGCATACTGAGCTAGATTGAACCAAAGATCTGATTCAATAGAAGGCATCTTCCTGTTGCTGTTTGCCTGAGGTGGAGGAGGTGGTGCATCTTGTTGATAACAGAACATACTTTGCATGTACAGAGTCCAGTCTTAAATCCCTAGCACTAATGCATTTCCCATAGGATAAATCGTTTTGTGTATTCACAGAATCTTTGAGTTGGGACCCAAGGGTCATCTAGTCCAACCCCCTGCAGTGAAGGAATCTCAGCTAAAAATTCTCTGGCTGATGGCCATCCAACCTCTGCTTAAAAACCTCCCAGGAAGGAGAGTTCATCACCTTCCAAAGGCTGTTGAACAGCTCTTACCACCAGAAAGTTCTTCCTGATGCTTAGTCTCCAGAGCAGGAGAAAACAAGCTTCCTCCATCTTCCAGGTAACAGCCCATCAGATACCTGAAGATGGCTATCCTAACACCTCTCAGAACACACCTGGAATGGCAAGGCATTGCACTACAACCCGTTGCCTCATGAGAACCATCAAATTAGCTGCTTTCTCTTATTTCCCCGGATGTAGAATCTATGCCTAGGACAGCTGCATAACACTTTCCTAACACCCTATATTCGTACCTTAGCCATGAAGCTCGTGTTAATTCACCCTGATTTACTGGGAACCAAACATTATTGGCTCCTCTAGAAATGATCACCCACATCCCAAAACCTGTCTTACAGTCTCTGCTTATAAGGAGATCCCTGCTGAATCATATTATGGGTCTAGCACCTGATTTCTAATGGTGTGAACCAAATTACTTGAGGGAAGTCCCTGTCATTTGCCTGCCCTGAGTCTGCCTTCCAGAGTTATACTGCTACAGACCATGGAGGCTACAGTCTATTTAGCTATCAAAACTACCACCTGCCAATACATTTTCCTCTTCCATGAATGGGTGTAATCCCTCTTCAAACCCATCTACATGAAAATTAGGAGGTCCTGCTGTGGGAATGAATGAGTTAAATAGGTTTGGAATGAATGAGTTAAATGGGTTTAATTGGTTTTAAACTTGTCATTTATATTGCCTTAACCTGCCCTGGGACCTTACAGTGGAGGGTGGAATGATGATGATGATAATATTAGATTGGAAAGAATAACAGGAATAGCAGCAGCCTTTCAAGTGCTGGTGAGGGCATACTCTTCCTTCCTCAAGACGTAGAAAGTGATATCCAAGCATTTAATATTTCATTAATAAATATTTAACAAATAAGCGCATGTTTGCTCTCCTGGGAGCTCTTTGCTCCTGTCCCTGTTCTGTGGAGGTAAACACAGAAACGCCACTTCATAGCTGATCTTTCACCTCCGTCTCACCTGGTGAAGAGGTTGCACCTACAATCTTTCTGCACTTGTAGCTTCCCGGTTCCTTGGATTAATTACAAAGAAGCTTCTTCCCTTCACCCCCTCCCTCACCTGAAAACCCAAGAACAGCTCACCTGCCTCTTTGCTTCAGAATTATAACCCCGCACCTTAGGACACCCCCCCTTGGCATGTAATCACACCCAACTCCTCGCTCCAGATGCTACATCCCAGGTGCGCTAGCAGGGTCTACCTGAGAGGAGGGCTTGGTCCTTGCAACTCACCTTGCGCAGCCTTCAAGAGGTTTCGGTCTTTTGCCCTACAACTCTTGCCTGGCGCTGCTGACACCCCCAATCTTTATCAGACTCCTGTCTGCAAGAAGCCAGCAGACCTATTTATAGTGGGGAGACTCCTTCCACCCCT